CTTTCTGCAAAAGGTGAGAGGTAAATCACTAAAATTAGATAAGAAACAATTCAAGGGATATTTTTAAATTCTGAATCATACTTGAGTGAGATTTAAGCAGCCTAATTATCCTGGGGCACAAAACAATCAAACTCAATAAATGACCTTAAGCACAAACTATGCCAATCAAATTCAAAAAAAAAATAATAATAATAAAAAATTGCTGCAATCCTCCAACTTCATAAACCCCAACCCACCCTAACCGGAAAAACAAAAACAGATAGATAAAATGTTAGCAAGAAATAAGATAACACCACAATGTTGAAAACCAAACATTACAATAAGGAAGCTGAGGCTGTTTGGTGGAAACTAGAACCCATAAGTTGTGCAACTCGGACCTGAGTTTCTCCTGCTATTGGAAAGAGTTCATAATCTTCCTTCTTTGTGGGAATTGGATATAAACTAATTTGAAGGGACTTCTTTTCGTCATTCAGAAGGATTGGATAGCTGTGCCATAATTTTAAGAGTTTAGCAGTCCTGCTTGGTGGAGTTTGTATACAGAAGTTAAATCCATGTTCTTTTTTCTTCTATTCTGAAGACTTCTGGTTTACTCCTTTGTATATCAATGTTATTTCATTAAAAAATTGGTCTTTTCTAATACGAACAACTAGATGTGATGCATAACCATATACAAGCTCAAATGTGATGTTGTTTTATGACACAAATATAAGAGCTGGTTACACAAAAAGGAAGACAATGTTCTCATATCTCTCAAGAGTCAGGGATTGGACAGAACTTTCCAAAAGAGTTTACAACCAAATTTCATGTTCTGACCAGTTACAATCATTATTATTAGATTATTTGAAGATACCAATCTTTTAAAAAACCTAAAAGTCATGTGAACATCTAAGGATATTTAATCCTTATTTATTAAATTAACAGTAAAAATTTCCAAATGAAAAGCAGCTCCAAGAACAATAAGAAACTCATAAAAAGGATAACCTGACATGAACATGGGTAATTTATCTTCATACTGAAATAAATGAACTCAACATAAAAACCAGGCCATGGATCTGCCCAGTATCTTGCCAATTTCTATAGCCTAAAAATATTAAATTAAGAATCTAGAATCTATATTTTAGTAGCAATTTAAGAAAATAATTTATTTTGGGAATTCAAATATTTTATTACTTGTTTTAGTTGGATTTTATTTTCCTAAAGTTGATTTCTTTTTCAGGAGGATTTAATTAGTAATCTGAAGTAGATTTCTATTTCATATTTTGTTTAGGTCTTGACCACTGTATAGGTAGGCGTTATGCTGTTTCCGCAACTATCAAGCTCCTGGAATACTTGATCATTGATAGAACAATGTTAAAGAGATCCCAAATGCATAGGGTAAAACAATTCATACTTTTTACAACATTCAATAAAAACAATGTGAGGGCCAATCAAGTTTCACCAGTCAAGGCATTAATAAACTCTCAAACAGAAAAGATAAGGTCAACAAACGAAAAAAGGAAAACAGTAAACACAATCAACTCAACCTATTCATACTAGAGCTTCAAAGTTTAAAATCTAGATAGTGTTTAGAGCATACCTACTACACCTATAGAACAAAACTAATCCGCCACTTGCTAGGAAAACACCCAACCATGCAAGAAGGCCAAAGCCAGCAGTTAACTTCGGCAAATCTGATGCTGCAGACAACATTCAAAAATGAAAAGACTATCCTTAAAAGGGCACAGAATGACTGGTTAAAGAAAGCTCAGGGCAGATACCCATGATGACAGAATGCATGTAAGTCACAAGTAGCAGCAAAATCAAACACCAAAGTACAGGTGCAAGTCCTAGTTTTGAAAGCTTCCCAAGGGTACTGTTCCCATCAAATCGCTTATCAAGCAACTTTCTAGCATTCCCCTGCAAAATAAAAAATTACAAGAAAATATACTTATTAACCCAGGCAACAAGCAGCTAAGGGGAATATATATATATATATATATAAATTCGGAAACATCATCCCAACTCAATATGATGCTTAACTGGAGTTCTAAATAAGTGTTTCTAATTAACATCAAGTCATTTTTTATGTTTCATCATGTAATAAGAAGTTTGTTTTGCTGCATATCATTCTTCTGTAGTTTATGGTGGTCAGGATTATTTTGGTAATTTACATAAATGTATGTATACGTTCTGAATCTGCTAGATTCCAACGTGGACGTCCAAGTCTTCGTAAGACTAGGAGAACAAATCAATATAATGCTTTAAATTATAATCCTAAAAAAATTTCAGAAGCTTAAAGGCTCTTTTCAGTATAGTGTGAAGCAAATCAAACCCAAAGTATGATGCCAAGGGACACTAGAAACAATGCAAGGAATTCTAGATGTGATGCCTAGAATCTGTGATTTCCTCTTATCTTCTATCTTCTCTTTTCTTTAAATACTAACTGAAACAAGCCATAGCAAAATAAATTACATTATAGAATATAAAAAACATTTACACTAATTTTTCTTATTATAAAAGCAAATGTTGACAAATGAACATATCATATTCTACATCCAATGAGGATATAAAAAGGTGCAAATATGAACAAGAACAAAAAGCATCAGAGAACAGCAAGCTTCATCAATTGCAAGATGCATGATCACTAACATGCAGCCACTGTACCAAAGATAAAAGATTTCCAGCACTCTTTCCACATATATCAACTACCAAGCGTAGTTGCTGCCTGTAGATTAGGGCAACTAAAAAATACAAGCCTGAACAATGTTGTATTATACTTTTCTTCAACTTTAATGCCATGTCTAAATTAGAATAATAATTTCCTTTCCAACTGTCTTGAAAAGAAGTTTATCCATTTGGCAATAAGCATTCATCAGTCAATGCTGATAATATAAATGCTCCTAACTCCAAAAGGTAGGATATTTGTGAGAAAACAAGGAACAATTTGTCAAAGTAACATTACTAACCAATGTAAAGTGTTATGGAGCACCTACAAGGAAAAAAGCAACTTGTCTGTGATTCTTATCAGAAGCAAGCTGCGCAGGCGTAAGGCCAGTATTATCAGTAACAATCAGGTCTTCCCTTTTTCCAGCCTGTACTAACACAGTGCATGCCTCCAAATTACCCCTAATAGCAGCCCAATGAAGTGGAGTGCAACCTGAAATTTTCCAAATACAGAACATTTCAGATAACACATATTAATTATATATGCCAAAAGATTTTCCGAAATATAAGGGATGATTTCACAAACCACCCCAAGGTTTGCTCAAATTGTAGACAAATTGAAAGGCTTAAATTTTCTATCACTAACCACCCTCTTGTAGCTTCATTTCCATAAGACTTATTTTTTTCATAAACTACCGCTGCAAAGATAGTTTGTGATAAGAAAATTCCAATTTTTTCCATATCGTCTGGAATTTGAGCAAATCTCAGGGTAATTCATGAATTGACCTGGTTGGTGAAATTGACCCTTTATATAATTGACCAATGAAATTCACAGCAACACAAACGCTTACCTTCTTTATCCTGGCGTCCTCTGTATGCATCCAAAAACAAAAGTAGACGTATACAATCAGCAAAACCCTTGTAAGCAGCCCTAAATTTTTCCAAGTCAAAAATAAATATCATCATTTTACCAATTAAAGGAAACAATCAGAAGAATTCATTGTTTGATGGTTAGTATAACAAAAGTAAGGACAAAACATAAGTTAAGACTGACATAAAAAGAATGCGTATTCAACTCTAGCATGTTGTAAGCAAGGAAAAAAATATGAAACCCAAATATGGAGGAAGGGCGCTCAGACGATAAACTTGGTGCCGCTTCTCAAAATGTTTTCAACAATGCAAACAAAGCTGACATAAAGGTTTGAGGGAAGTTCTCATATACCAGTGTAAAGGACTTCTTCCATCATTATCAGGAGCATCAGGATCAGCGTTCCATTTTGAAACTATGTGATACAGGAAAGCTGTTTGACCATATTGGGCTGCAACATGTGTAGTCTGCAACCAAGTCCAGTTAACAATCAATATGCATCCATCATTTTGTTTTTTCCTTTCTGATAAGACACTAGCAAACCATCTTGACATGTTACAGGCTCGGAAAAAGAAAATGTATGGTAACAAGACTAAACAATGAATTATGACACTAATCACATGTGCCTAGGAAACTTAGTTTAACATGAGAAAATTGAAAATGTACAGTAGTCAGTCTCTGAAGCTTCAATTCATGTTTTAAATGTCAGTCCATGACACTTAACATTGCTTTGCACTATGCATAAGAATCTGCAGCTTAACAAAGGAAGAATGGTTCACCATCACATGAATACCAAAGTAAGAAAATAGCAGGAAGCAAAAACATCTTCATAATTTGAATAAGAATTAAAAAAATAAGAAGAAAAGATATGAGCAAGCACTAAGACGGGTTCAATTTCAACCCAGTCTATCGAGTTCTGCGCAAACCCATACCAATCAGGCTGGATTTCTTATTCCAAAGGTATAGATCAGGACTACTGTGGTCTCAAAGATCACCCCCAGATCCAGGGTGAAGGTGGGAGATATAATTTAGCAGCTACACCAGGCCCTAACCATATATTTTTACACAAGCACCCTGGTGATAGTTTTAGTTACTTTTAACCATATTCACATGGGCTAGGGTTTTTTATTCTCACCTGCCCTCTGCCTGCAGCCCATCTCCATCTCCATCTCCATCTCCATCTCCATCTTTTTTTATTCTTTTTCCTGTTAGGAAAATAGATATGTAAATTGATAATTTTGACAAGGGTATCACTATTTTCTTTACTTGCTGTGATCTCACATATCTGCCGATCTCCTCTATGTGTTAGTTTATTTTGGATACCCTGCCCATCTTCTTTAACTCCTTTGTTATCTCTCTACCTTTTGACTTATTTTTCCATCTCCCAGGTTAAAGCTTTGCAAAAGCCTCTCACCGTTGCAACACCAGAAATCCTCTTAAGTTGCTTTAAGCAATCAGACATGCAGCATATACTTCAGTAACATGCAGTAGAGCTAACAAGTAAATTTTGGAACCAATGCCAGCTTAAAGAAATCAAAGCTCTGAATATCTATCCTTATATCTACTTGAAACTACTCAGGTTGCAGCCTAAAGATATTCAAAAGAGAAATTTATAGTAGGGGCACTATGAAGGTTAAAAAATGCATCAACACACCAGCTCCCACTCTTGGTGTGAAGTTTGGTGACTGAAAACACTCAGAAACCAACAATTAGATAAAAAACACATTAGAGACACCAACTGGAAGTGTAGCCAAAACACAAAATTGGCTTATGAGATAGGTTCCTGAAATAAGAAGTATACAATAGTAAATTGTGAAGGTAGGAAAAATCAACTTGTGACCGATGCTGGGCTGGCAATAGGGTTTGAGTTTTGCAAACCTGGTACAATTTAACTTTGTTCCAAGCAGTTATAACCCAAATTAAGTCACCCTATACTAAATGAAAATCATAACATAAGAATGTGTTCCTCACTTTCCACTAAACAGACCACCACTTGCAGAATATCTCCATACTCTGGCTTCATTACTCACGCAGAAAACCATAACTTAACCTGGCCAACAACTTCTACGGCCAGATATTTTACCATTCTGGTAATATGAGAGAGAGAGAGAGAGAGAGAGAGAGGAACTCAAGGTCAAGATGCAAATTGTTTTCTTATCAATACTATATCCCACAACATGAAGATAAGGATTTTGGTCAACAATCCATGAATCTAATACAATGCAGTGATCTTTGGGTTGAATATGATACTGTCTTCACAAAATTCAAGAAATTTTTCATGCCATAGAAATTAATCAATTTTTTCCATTGAAATCATCAAGCAAGTTTGCTTAAACATAATCCACTGAATGGCAAGTCTGTGTCTGCTTCTGCTATCCAACATAATAAACACCTTCCTCATGTGGTCATTCAACACACAACATACAAGCATGCTGAAACCCACTCTGAACATACTTAGTTTAACTTAAGGAAACAGATGTAGACTGTGACCCTGTTTACTTTTTCAATGCAGACAAGATTTCAGTTTGACATTGTCATGACTTCAGAGCCTTCTAAACACCTTCCTTATGAGGTCATACCACCACAACATAATTATGAATTAGATATCCCTCACATGCAAAGAAAGCAAATATAAGTAGTAAGCTAGTCAAACTATAGGAAAAATGTGCCTCTGCCACTGAATTACAATATTCAGTTCATAGAAACGCATGCATCTCTATTTGAGGATACAAGTGGAGAAGAGATTTGGTCCATGTGGGATAAAGTAAATTTCTGGGCCTCTCTTTGGGCATCTATCACTTCAGAATTCAAAGATGTTTCTTTTTCTTTATTCACCTACCTAGGGAAGTTTTTGTGCATCTCCGTAAAGTCATGACTAGACATATGAACTGATGTGAACACCAACAAAACTGCATATGACCCATTTATGTGATGTACATATACATGAAAAAAAAAAATAAATAAATAAAGAGGCTAACCTGATAGCCATAAATATCAGCCGCATTAACCCGTGCACCCTCTTGAAGTAGAAGCTCGGCAACTTGGATTGCACCTCGAACTGCACTCCAATGCAATGCAGTCTGCCCGGTATGATCTGCAGCATTTATATCTCCACCATGCTGCCATATAAGAAACCCAAAACAATTAATTAAATAAAATGAAACCATAAATCAATAATTCATCAATGAATTCCAAACTTGATTAAAAATTAATCCCACCTCAATGATATACTGAGCAGCGGCCGTCCGATTATTAAGCGCGGCCCACTGTAGCGCATAGTAGCCCAATCCATCGGGCTCGGAGACGGAGCAACCCTCGGACTCAACCAACCTCTGAAGCTTTTCCAAATCTCCATAGGCGGCGGCCGTGTAGACATCGTTCCGAAGACTTTCCTCGTCGACCACCACGTCGTTGGATTGGTGATTCTGCGATTGGGATGATTGGTCGACCTCTTCGACGACCTCGATCTCCGACGACATATTGAAAGAAGAAACGAAAATAAAAGAAAATAAAAGAGAATGAAGGTAATTACTTGTAATGTTAATGAGAAAGTAATGACACTAAAACCAGATCGTAAAGATTTGACTGAATTCAACAAGATTGGAAAATGTTAAGGGTTGACTTGGTTGATTTGAGGAAATTGTTGAAAACGTAAGAAATTAGGGTTTTTGGAGGAAGGAGAAAGGGGATGAGTTGACTGGGAGGTCGATGGATAGAGATGGGGAAGAGAGAGAGGAAGACCAAACATTAACAATCCAACTTGCCTATGAATATCCGAAGTCGTTTCCTTCACTCAAACTCAAAGACTGTTTGTTTGTAAAGATATGTTTTATATTTCTCAGTTTTCTGTTTGTAGTTTTCAAGGCTATAATAATACTATCCAAAGCCATAGGATCACCCGTTCAATTTACAGGAAATAATCGGACGGCTTTGGATGGCACGTAACGTTATTCCCGATTCCTCTTAGAAATTAATAATTTATGAGTTATGACTTGAATGCAAATGAAAAATCTAGTGCAGAGTGTGATCAAAATTTCGCTTTTTGTTTCAATTCGCTTGAATCGTTTTATGGGGGATGCTTGATAAGGTCAAAGCCCAATCCAGTTGTTGAGGACTATCTTATGCCAAGTTATAAACAAGTTGGAAATATTAAGAATTACAGTCAATTAAGAAAGGATCGACCAAATGATAGTAGTCCTAGTCGTATGATAGAGACTTTTTGGTGTATTATTGAAGAACTCATGAGTTTAATTCCTCATCGGTTGTTAATAGAGATAGCCACTTTTCAGGATCTCAGAGATTAGTTGAAGTATGTGTAAACTGGTCCGAACACACCCGATCATGATTTAAAAAAAAAAAAAAGATAATAGCACTAGTCTCTAAATGGTTAGCATAGGAAATTAAAAAACACTATAATAGCAATAAATTAAAAGGAACAACTTGTTGAATTTATGATAACCATATGATGATAAATGACATCCTAAAAAAAATAAAAGAAACCTAAACAAGTTCTAACTTGTAAATCAAAATCTGGTTTTAAGGAACAGGACATGGAAGATAACGGAGAGCGTGGTAACTCCTCAATCGAAGATAAAAGTAATTTCTAGGGAGCGGGTAAATCACCTTGGGGAAGCACTCGTCATCCACTTGAGTAGGACTGTTAGACGAATCAAGCGGCTCGTGAATCGACTCAATTACGACTCGCCAAGGGCTTGACTCGATTCATGAATGGGTTGCAAGCGGAGTTCGATCACTGCTCGACTCGGCTCGCGAGCCGAATCTGGCTCGAGTTAGAGAGGGTCACACTGAGGGTTTTTCAAACTATTGAGGGTTAAATGCAATTGCAATTATTAAGCATAATAGTTTAAAAAATGACAAATTCCCCCATTATAAAACTTGGTAAAACACAATCATTTACCCCCATTTGAACAAAATCCCTAAATTGAAATAGTGAGCCTACCCAAAATTGACAAATCTTGATCAACTTGCACGTCGTCACCGTCGCCTGTAGTTGTCGTGGTCCATTGTTATTGCCGACGGCATCACCTGTTACAGCTATTCTCTTCCTCGTTGTCGTTTCACCATTTTCGTCGACCTCCAAGTTCTCTTCATCGCTGTTTACTTCTCTTCCTCCGTCAACTTGCCCGTTGTCCCGTTGTCTTTCTCGCTATCATGGTAAATAAGTAAGGTATTATTTTGACTCATTTTTCTTCTTTGTTTTTCCCAATATGCATTGAAATGTTGAATGTGTAATGTGTTTGTGCTGTGGATTGTGCTGTTACGTTTGTTGGGCATTCGAGTGTGTTAACTGTTGAGGATTATAGAAATGTGTCTGTGATGTTGCGTTTGTTTGGCATTCGAGTGTGTTGAGGATTATTGAACTGTGTAATGTGTTTGTGCTCTGGAGTGTGGATTATGTTGTTGAGGATTATTGTCTATTGAAATGTGTTTGTGTTGTGGATTGTGTTGTTGATGATTGTTGCGTTTTATATGACACTCTTCATCCAAGCACCATTTTGTCCATGCAAATTTTACAATAACAGCTAAACGACTAGAATGGATAAACCAAATGCATTTGGGGCAATTTCACAATATTGCACTTGGTTTTATTTCTCACGGTTGGCACTAGGCAGTTTAGTTTGGTTCCAATTATTTCATCTTAAAGGATTACTTGACTAGCTTGTCAATACTTGAACATATAGTTCTGAATTTTTTAGGAGGCACTCCATATATTTCCAATTTATTGCTGAATTAATTCCAGATTTGTACTAGCCATATCTTGTGTTTTTTGGATTGTTTTATTGCTGGATTTGTTTGATTTCCTCAGGGGTGTTCCATCAAATATCAATAAGAAAAGCAAACCCCTTTGTTTTTATTTTGTATTATAGGTTTGGAAATGGACAGGAGTACTTCAAGCAGCTCTACAGAGCAAGATACAATTACAATTACATCGGGCAATAAACGTACCTTGGATGGACCACTATAAATACGGAACACAATGTTAGTAGCCTAGATAATGGTGGGCAGAATGACAATCCAATTCAAAGGAAAAAGAGAGCTGAAACATCAGTGGTTTGGACATAGTTTAAGGAGGTGGTTCTCCCGAGGGTACAAAAAAGGCAGAATGTATCCATTGCAAAGCCAAGCTGTCTATTAATGCCACCAGAAGCACCACCCAGTTTAATAGACGTTTAAAATGGTGTTCAAAGAGAATAGCTTCCATGAGGCAACAACACATTACTTTTCCCGTTGTCGGTTTTGATGTTGGAACTTTTCATTTGCCTGCTTCAAGTGGAAAGTTCGACATCATGATGATAAGGGAACTTATCGCCCATTAGGTGCTTATGCATGAGCATCCATTTTCAGTTGTGGAGGAAGAGGGCTTCAACAATATGATGAAGTATGGGATTCCTGAACGGAGTCTGGTTTCCCACCATACCTGCAAAAATGATTGTACGAAGGTATATGAGAGTGAGAAAGTGAAGTTGAAGATGTTGTTGAAGAATGTGACAAAAAAATTAGTTTGACTACGGATTTGTGGAATTCTGGCAATCAGAAGATGGAGTATATGGTGCTTACTAGGCATTAGATAGATGGTCATTGAACGATGGATAGACGTGTCCTGAACTTTGTGTATTTACCTCCTCCCCATACTAGTGTTGCAATTGTTGACTCCATTTCCAAGTGCCTAATAGAATGGAGGATTGAAAATAATGTGTACACTATCTTAGTGGATAACGCTTTAAGTAGTGATGTTGCAATTAGAATTATGAGGGAAAATTTTGAAGTTATGGGGAATCTGATTTGTGGAAGTAAATTGTTTCATGTTAGATGTTGTGCCCATATCTTAAACCTCATTGTTCAAGATGGACTTTATCAGATTAGGCATATCATTGACGACATCCATGAGAGTGTCTTATACATCAATGCTTCAGAGAGTAGGATTAGGGTTTTTACTGAGATTGTTTAACAATTTAAATTGCTATTTCGGAAGCTTATTCTACATTGTAAAACAAGATGCAATTCAACATATGAAATGTTGACAACGACAATTAAGTTTAAAAAAGTATTTCCTAGGTTGAAAGAAAGGGATTCAAGTTATCATTACTGTCCACAGGACAAGGATTGGGAGAAAGTGTGTGACATTTTAAAGGTTTTTAGTGGTACAACCAATCTCATTAGTGGTAGTGATTATCCAACATCTAATTTATTTCTAAAGGAGGTCGTCAGGTGAAAATGATGTTGGATATTAAGAGTGAATATGAAAATGAGTTCATTAGAAACATGGTAAGGAAGATGAAGGAGAAGTTCGATAAATATTGAGGGGAATTTAATGTGTTGATGTTTGTGGTTGTTGTATTGGATCCTCGATTGAAAATGAGGGTAATTTAGTGGGCCTTCCCCCAGATGTATTCGAAGTTAGAAGCTCGTACAAATATTGTAATTGTTTGACATGCACTGTATGAGCTATATGGAGAGTACGTTGAAGCTAATAAAGCTTCTACCATTTCCCGTGGACCTCTAATAGTAGGGGTGGGAGTTGGAGCCGTTGGTGAGGAGGCAATGGCTACAAGAGTCGTGAGTTGGGATGTTTTAGCAATTTTCTGGATGTGGTGGAGACTGTTGAGCCAAGTAAGTCTAAGCTAGACTGTTATTTGGAAGAGGGGTGTCATAAGTGCGTGGGGTATCGTGAGGCATTCGATGCTTTATAATGGTGGAAGGCAAATTCAACCAAGTACCATATATTGTCTATGATAGCTCGTGAGATACTAGCCACCCCGATCAATACTGCTGCTTTAGAGTCTGCATTTAGTGCCGGGAGTAGCGTTATTGATAGTTATCAAGCTTCTTTGTCTCCCGATATGGTGAAATCGCTCTTATGTGGATGTGATTGGTGTCAATCTTTGAACGGAGTGAAGAAATAGTGGAAAGTAAGTTCCATTGATTCTATTTTTAGTGCAATTCAATATTTACAATTACTTTATGTTAATCTAAACTTAATTTTTATTTCTTATTTCATTTAGGAAAGAGCAGGACCACTTGGAGATAGTTCTTCCTATCCATTCAATTGATAGGAATAAGTAGATTGTTTGATTCCCCCGCATGTCATTGGTTGTGGCAGCAGGATTGTGCAGGTTTGACTTAATTGATTTTTTGTTTGGGTTCACATATTCATCTTTATGTACTTATGTCCTTAATTGATTTTTTGTTTGTAGGAGTGGGGCAAGAATGGTTTTGGGATGTAGCTGCCCAACATACAACCATTTTTTTTATGAAACATTAAATTTTGATGTTTTGGGATTAAGTTTGTATATAGTCCCCTTTTTGTTTTGATGAAAGATGAATTAAGTAAAGTGAACCAAACAAAAACTTTAGTTCACTTCTCTAAATTTGTTGAAACATAACCAATATGGCAAATGGTAAATAGTATGATGAAATGATTATATGTGGAGATTGAGTTGTTTACCAAATACATGCAGGTTTACTTGTGTTTGTCAAATAGTTTGTGGCATTAAAATGGAATATACTATATATGCAGGTCCCTAGCATTTTTTTGTATGTTTATTGTGTAAAGAGATTTAGTTGTTGTTTTAATGTATAGGGCATAAAATGGGTTGAATACCATGAAAAACCAGGTGATGCGGGAACATAAAAAGAAAAAAAGAAAAAAAAAAATTAATTATATTTATGTTGACGTTTGTTTTGTCTCCCATGGGAGAGATATGCTTTAACTTTTCACTTGGAAGGCTATAAATAAAGTCTTACTTTGTCTTTTGTACTCATCCCTTAAT